CACTTGGAATCTTTTCTCACTGGAATGCATTACCAAAATATGTGGTAAACGCACCAGACATGACGACATTCGAAAGACTCTTAGACTTTCATCTTAGTGATAAAAGATACACAACAGTTTGCTAAAGTGCAATGGTTTAACCACTGATACTTCACGTTCCACATTGGAATATTTTGATTTTAATTTTCTTTTGAATATCCATCCTGTGGGTCTTGTAAAGTTATAATTTTTATCCCATCATACACCATTGAACCATTGCGGCGATTCCGCATTGGTGTTGATGTATTGGAAACCACCGCTCGCTTCTGCTACCTTGGGCGGTGTGATGTCGACTGACCAGCAGCTATACAGTGAGCTGCATATCCGCGTGTCGAAGGCAGCGGCGGCATTCGGGAAGCTAGAGTACCGAGTGTGGAACAACCATCAGCTTACCATTAGTGCACAAATCCATGATGCTGTCCGTTCTTCTATACGGGAGTGGAACATGGACGATATACTGGCAGGATGTGCGATATCTCAAACGGTTCCATCAACAGAGTTTGCGACGGATTATACGCATTGGATGGGGCGACAGAGTTGCAGACACAGAAATGTTGCGTCGAAGTGGAATGTGCGCAGTGAACTGCATACTTTTACTGAGACACCTGAGGTAGCTGGATCATATGAGCCGTATGGATTCGACGCGGATACCGAAACAACTCATATATTGTCAGCTGGGTATTGGGAAGCGGTATGTGGGGAAACCAAAGTTAGGTTACCAGGACATGATTAAAGTTAGCCTCTCACGTTCTGTCTGATCTTAACTGCAGATCATGGGAATCGAAGGCGGTTGATCGGCGTGCATGGCGCGATCTAATCACGAAGGCAGTTACCGAAGTGCGGAAGGAAGACTTCACGCATGCAGAGAAGAAGCGACAAGCACCGATGGGTTGTACTCCGTCGACATCGAGCGCATGGTGCTGTAGCACATGCGGTCGCGAATGCCTGAGTCAGGCAGGCTTAGTGAGCCATGAGCGAGGCCAGTCGGGACCACCACCAAAGCGACGACGGCTCTTACAGAGAACGTAGGCAGAACCAGCGCAGCACTTGTAGGTACCCTGCATTCGATTTACTAACCGCGTGCTTGCATGCTAAGTCTATTTATTTCAGGTGGTGGGTTAGCAATTTTGTCCTAAGACTTTTCTTTCTCATGTTATTGTCTACCTGTACTATCCTCTATAACCCTGCACAACTCGCTTAAGCCAATTGTAGTTAATTTCGATAACATTTTCGCGTTTGTGGCATTTTCTTTACATGTATCTTCTGACCTCTTTAACTTGTCGCAGATCCGTTCGTAAACAATTTATTTTATACGCCCATTCAGTGAAGTATTATGCCACCGTATCTGCATGCATTATTCGTTTTTTTTCTTCCATCATGTCGTTTCAAGTGATTGGCTGTTGCTTGATATTCCCGTTGTGGCTGCATTTGACGTGCATGTTGACAAGGTGCATACCTGTCTATTGCCCACTATCTTGTCCATACTGGCTCTAGGAGACAGTTGGTCGTCGCTGGAAGGGACGGGGTGCACCGTCCTTGCTGGGGATGATGTTGCATTCATGGTTCTTCTTCACCGCAGTTGGGCTAAACCAACTTATACATAAACTAGGCCTTTTTAAGCCTGGATAAATTTCATTCCACTTTATTTGGTTTGTTCTGCTTACCTGAATAATCTTCGATTAAATGGCCACGTTACTTACGCTAGTTGCGTTTATCTTTATTGCTTTTGTAGCCTTTTTAAGTAACTTGTGGACATTTTTTAATTATCGCGACTTCGTTGCTAACCTACTTCATTTTATTTTATATGCATATTTAGCAAAGAGTTATGTCATTGTACCTCTATGCATTGTTCGATTTATTTTCTTTCCTCTTGTTGTTTCAAGTGATTGGCTTTCGCTTAATATCCCCGCTGTGGCTGCGCTTGATATGCATGTTGAGAAGGTACCTACCTGTCCATTACCCACTACCTCCTCCATACTGGTTACAGGAGACAGTTGGTCGTTGCTGGAGAGGACAGGGTGCACGGTCCTTGTGGCCGCAATAGGATCAAAGAGTGGTTCCATGCACTCAGTGTGGAGCGGACTACGGTCCATCCACCGCCTTGTGTCCACTAGATTATCAAGTACAGCGTGCGTGTGTTTGCCTGTGAAGGAGTGTGGGCCGGCTCCGTTGATGAAATTTGGTTCCCATCCACATGCCTCCCGGTCTTATTTCTTCGGGTTTACACTGGATATGGGGTGTATGGATGGAGCTGTGGGTGGTGCAGCGCAAGCCATCCATGGTCCCTCTGTAGGCGCAGGCGCCCTGTGGCTGGTCACGGTGACAGGCAAATCTGAAACCGAATGCCGCCGCCCATATATATGCCACAGTGTTTCCTCACCTAGTGGCATGCGTATTCATGGGTTTGAGACCCGTCATCGGCCTTACAACTCCTACGCACGTATCTCTGTCTCACCTACTCAGATTTACATTGGATATACGATATGTTGGGTAATGTAACGCGAACTGCTTATAGTCCCCTGGCGTTTCGCAATCACAAGAGTTGATTTGTCTGCTGAAGGCAAAAATGGCGTAAGCATTACGGCAGTACGTGGTACAGACATCTTAACGCCGAGCAACCATCAGTCGCACCCGGAGCGTTGCCCGGTTTCCCTACGCAGGCTCGAATCCACGCAATTGGATTACAACACAGGTTTGCGGTTCTTGAGGCTACAAGCCCGCTATTTGTCTGGCAACATTTTCCGTCGAGCATTGTATTGAAACTTGCAAACGAATGAGAGGTTGTCCTTTTGTCACTCATTTTTGCGTTTTTTTCAGATGACCATCCGTGGATTGTCAATCATACTTGGGAAGCATCCCACAAATTTCAAGCTGATATTCCTGAGCAATACAGCAGTCATTATCGATGCGCTAGATTTCATGGGCCACGTTCATGAAGGCATTTCTAACACCTACGGAGGTGAAAATCTGGCCATGCACTTGAAATTGAAACATATACTCTCCGTTTTCCGTGAATGTGGCATTGTCCCCTACTTTGTCTTCGCCGGTGGAAAAGAACTCAGGGTAGGTTTAACCTGTTTGGATACGTCATCCTCTTTGCTTAACGGCCGCCAACGGTAACGCTTTTCTATCTAGCGTCCATATACCTGGTTTTACCCGCTTTCCGTTTCCTGTAACTATCTATGAAAATCTCGTATAAGTTGGCCCTGAGGTTAAATGATCACCTGTCTTACGCTTCTGCAAGTTAGTCGGTGATTCCAACGCATTTTTGGAATCATTCTAATGATCTGTTCACTTTTTGTGGAACTTTGCGCTAGTTTCCGTTTAATGGCGAGATATTTGAGGTGAATTCGATGGGAATAACTTTTTTCCAATCTACAATCCAAATGGCCATTGTTGGTGTACTGCCGTCACCTAGAATATTTTAAGACTTTCCCGTCAGAGTAATCGTCTACACGATCTGGGCTCGAATCCATGATGTAATAACACCAGGAATTGTACAACCGATCAGCATCCATTTCTTACAGGTTAATCATATACTGCTGGCTCGCATAGTACTAGCAGTGCTGAACACCGGCAGTCGCTTCCTCTAACGCTTATACTAGCGCCAAATGGGCTGAACCCGGCTGCTTTTTCATTTTCTAATCCGTGTCGTGCTGGGACAAATTTCTCTTCGTATAATATACCGCCTGTCCGGTTAGTTAAACATCTGCAAAGCCTGCTCGCACTCAGTCAGTGGTATCTCCGGTATGTGCGCTGTGCAAATCGATACAGGCGTCCCCATATAACGGCAAAGTCGGAAATTCTAGTGAGCCTTTAAACATAGTGCGTTGCACGCTCGGTTTCAGTAGTCGAGCAACGTCCCATCAGCACCATTGCTATCAACCTCACAATATGCGCAGCTTTTTGTCGTCAGACAGCAACTAGAATGTCTCATTGTGGTTAATCACTACGAATGAGGATCCACGTTGACCTCTGTCCTACCTTTTGCTACTTCAACTATGCTTCTCATGAGAATCCATTCACTGGCATGAATTGTTTTCGTCGACCGTTTTTTTAGGTTAGTTTACCTACTGCAAAAGTTGGGAATAATTTTATGTTTGCTACATCCCTAACGTCAGAATAGGAATCAATTTTGTAATGAAGGTCCGTACGCAGCGTCACAAGAAGAGCAGAAGCAAGCGAGGCAGTAGCAGTATCGATCACACGTGGGCTAAGGATGCTGCGAACGGAGCCCTGCTCCTACGCAACTTCGAACCCGAGCCGTCAGAGTACAAGACAAGCTCGTTACTTTTAGACGACAGGACGGCGCTCAAATTAACCACAACCAATAAAGCGGGATAACGCCGATTTGTCTCTGAGTGGGGGGTTTAGACTAATACGGGAAAGTATTTGACCACGCGCATGGCTACTTCATCAATAACGTTGGCCTTCGGAATGTAAACACATGATTCCCCCCCCCTCCTCCCCAATGAATGATGGTAAGTCGTTACGCGATTTGTTAATGCTTTCTATTCGCCATCCCGTGGCTAGCGTATGATCGGCTTGAAATGGTGAGCTCATGCATCGGGAACCGTGAAATGGAAGTCAAGTGTGCATGATGCACAAAAGCACACAGCTTTGGCGGCAACAGACTGCGATAGATACAACCGAGCGCAAGACGGTAAATGATGCCATCCGATGACGATCCGTAGTGAGACCTTGAGACCTTGAACTAGAGCGGCGCATTTGAATTAGACCTTGCCGTTTCCGTTGAAGTATCGCCTTTACGCCAGCCACTGTGGGTAAATTAGGTTTCAGGAATATTTTGATGAATTGGTTGGTAGAACTATTCCCAAGATCACTGAGACATTGTTACACCTTTGAGTTCGAAAAAATGCATCGAGATGCTGCGCACATTTTAGAATTTGCTACTTTCGACAGAATTAACGTATCTGTCAAGTAACGCTTTAATAAAACTGTCTCGTCAGCTAGACAGATATATATATATATATATATATATATATATATATATATATATATATATATATATTCACAGTCTGTTAACAGACATTGTGCCATCAGAACCACGGCAGAAGAAAAAGTGGAGAAGACAGAAACAGGAAATGCGATAAAAAATGGGAAACGATTTTTTGGTTTTACACGCCATTTTAATTTTTTGATTTTGTGTTTTCTGTGTATATTAAACGGGGGATATAATGGCAGAACAACTTTGACGCCACTGATGTCTGTTGCGGGCCATGACATCCAATGTTGCCAACTACTGAGACTCAGCATCTCGTGGTTCCCAACCTGGAAGAAGGACTGGTCCGACTGCCGCCGAACTTGAAATTGCCTTCTTCATGCTCCTTCTCCACGTCCTGGGCTGTCCACCGCGGCACTTTTTCCAATCGCTTCCGAGGAGCGCAAATAACGCTCGGCGTGGAAGGCAATGGGCTGGCATGCGCAGAACGTGCCCGAGCCAAGGCATGCGATGGCGCAGAATAACGTCCTGATGACTGGCACATCTAGCTCCAAGCACTCGATCTTGCACCTCAGCGTTGCTTAATTGGTGTTGCCACCAAACCGGAGCAATCCTTCGTAGATAGCGATTGTCGAAGACTGACAGCCGCTTCATGTCTTCCGAGCGAATAGGCCAACTCTTACAGCCGTACAAGTGTACTGCACGGATGAAAGCATTGTACACCCTGCCCTTGAACTTGAGACTGACATCACGACAACGTCATAGGTGTCTCAGTTTGCTGAATGCAAGGTGGGCCTTTGCAATCTGTTGTGGGACTTCATTTCCAACAATTCCTGATAATTCCTCCAGCAGTATTCTATCGTTGTTCCAAAATGCAGGACTGCTCACTCGAGTGCCAGATAGGCACACTATTCCCCTTTGTCATCCGATTTGTAAAATCTTGCATTTTTAAAGATACTATTTTAAATCATTTACAGTCGATAGTGTAAAATGCCGGAAAAGCATCCATCCGGGTCGATGAAATTTGGTTCCAGTTGACTTGCACATCTGGCCGTAAGCTGAATCACGGTAGGCATGAGGAGGCAGAAACGGTGATAGAGAAAGGGCACTGTTGTGAGCATTGTACCGGATTATTGCGTGTGCTCGTCTGCCGCCCACCCATGAACAGGCATGTGCAGTGTGAATATGCGAATTTCGATCGCTGAGATGACTGATGAGGTTGGACGATGGTGAAGTCTGTGGTTTTATCCACTAACAACCCCTAGAGTCGGCATGAAGCTGAAGTGGAAATTTGGAGTTACTGCTAGGTAAGTGTGGTTTCTCGAGCGCAGACCAGCGAAACTCGCGAATTGTGGTCAATCAATCATATCCCGCGAATGCCGCAACAGACTGAAACCAGGACCGAACCCAGATGGTGTTCAACTGTCAAACTGAAACAGACAAAAAAGGCATGGAGCAAAAGACTAGTGTTGACCTGAGGTCAACACACATGATCGATCGAGCTATAACCAGAATGATCTGCATTAGTGTAATTCAACTCAGGCCCTAATCTGTACTAGACTCCAGTTCGCCGCATTTTGTGATCGTTAATAATCAATATTTTCGCACTATAGCCAACTGACTGCGATTGTATGTTGCTGAGAAGGTGTAGGCGCCTTTAACTCGAGAGTAGATGTAAGGCATTAAGGTTTATGTAAGTCACATTTCCGCCTCTTGTTGTTCTTCGTCCTGCAACTCAGCGTGGTCGTACGGTAGCGATTCATCAATCAATAGTTGATGTACTGCTGTTCATGAAGATGATGCTGATGCTGCTGCTGATGATGATGATAATGTTCATGTTGTTGATGGCGATGATGTGGATGCTGTTGATGACGATGATGTTGATGTTGATGATGATGATGGTGGTGGTTGTGTTGGTGATGATGATGACATGTTTTCCTAGCGATGCTATCCAGCAGCGCAACTAAATCCCCGGTATTTTATTTCTCGGTGCTTAATTGGCTGTGCTAACTGTGTTCTATTGGGACTTACTAGTTGGTATGTCTTCTTTCCAATTATATTCTGGTAACTCTTTTGCTTTGTCTTCTTTACCGTCGCTAGGTTCCTTTCTATGCTCGTGTACATTACGTATACTCATTCAATTGCTCCCATTTTTTCTACTTTTCTTTTTCACCCTGCTCCCTCCTTTAGAGTGAGCAAGTGAAGGGCAGATGTTTGAAGACTTTGAATGCAATCCGAAACCCTAAATACCCTCCGTACTCAACTCCACCGTTTCAGTACACTGAATTGGCCGTTGGCGCGAGGGCAACCATTGTGGAATCGTTACGCAAGCTACATGCCCAATTTACCTTCGTGCCCCACTCCTCCTTACGGTGCACAGCGAGTTTAGCCATTCGCTTGAACTGTCCCCTCCTCGCTAGCTCGTCAGATTACTTCGCGCTTGTCTCCGCCGCCGAACTTCGCGACGTGACCGACGCTCAATCTTTTCGTTTTCTGCCTCTTCGTTACTTCAGTTTTCAACCGATTTCGCAACAAGCCTGCATGCTTCCAGCTCATGAATTTATGCCGCTTAATTCGGAACTAGCTGCAGTCCATCCCAAGCATCGTCCGCTGCTCGCTCTGCTTCTGGGGACTGATACCATGCTAAAATCCAGACTGCCACCAGAAGTGCATGCAGCGTGCAAATCCAATGAAGGCTTACATCCGAAAGAACGCCGTTTCTCTGTATTAGTACAGTGGTTATCACAGCACAGAACCAACATTGAAGCTCCCGTCGAGCAGGTGATCGACGCATACCCCGAACCGGATCGTCCCAATTTCATTCATCAGTTAACTGACTGTTTAGCATATTACATTTACCATCCACTGATGGATAGCAAAGGATTGACAAGGCAGCTGCAAATCCCCAATTTGTCCCCATCTGAAAGCTCCGAGGACCTGACTGCTGCGCTCAAAATAACCTCCTTCTATGATGCTCAACGCAGTCAGGCGCCGTTTGTTAAAGAGGATATATTCAAGCTTTTGCGTGGCTTACGCGACAACAGAGCGTATCCTAGTGATTTCACTGTCGGATGGCCTGATCGGCTGGTTAATGCGTATCGAGGTGGGAAAATTGTATCGTCGTTCATGCGAGCTTTGTACAGTTCCGGTTTCTGTATGACAGGGAAACCTAACGACATGTCTACGGTTGTCTGTTTGCCACTCCGCGTCATGCACTATCGAATCATGCTTGGTTTGGAACGTCAGTTGGGTGGTTGTATCAAATTGGTTGGGCTTAGTCCGCA